TTTTGACACATAAAACTCATTAAAAAATTTTATTCTAAATTATTTATTAAAAATAAAATATTTTCATTTAACATTTAATAAAAAAATATAAAAAATTCTTTATATACCTCGCTACATACATGAAAAAATAAAATTATTTTTTATTTTTTTTCTCTTTCCAACATTATTATTGTCTATCTACTACTTTAAGTTTATTTTCTCTCCTACATTCCTTCTAAAAATCTTTTTAAATATTTTTTTTTGTTTAATAGCTAATTAAGTTATTAATGGTAATTATTTTTTAAATTTTTACCGAATGAGATGAAAAAAAACACGCACTCAATGCACCCATTTGGATCTAAAGAAAGCTTGTATGCCATTGCTCGCATTTGTCAAACTCGGTAAGGCCCATATTTTTTTTCTTTTTGGAGGGTTTTCATATAAATAGATTCGTTTAGATTGCAAAGATGTAAAGTTATTATGAGTGAAAATTTTAATGTTAGCCAAAATCAATGTATTAGTTTTGGACTTTAAGATAAATAGATAGAAATAATAAAAATAAAGTAAAACAACTTTCTAAGGATTAGATAAGGGCATCTAAAGAATACTTAAAAAAATAATTTTTGAGAGTAATGGAATTTAGATCTTAAATTTTGTCTGTGCATGATGAATGCTAATATTATGTGAGAAAAGTGGCTAGTGATATAAGAATATTTGCAAAGATGTGCTTAGAGTTTGAAGAGAAAAGCTCTAATAGTAAAATAGTTAGTTGGTGGAAATCCTAAATGTGCAAGAAAATATAAAAAAAAGAAGTTTTGTTATAAAAATTAGTTTAATGTAAAATTTTTGATAATGGGAGGCTCATAAGGAATCTAAGAAAAGCTATTTGCGATGCAAAAGCTTACTGTTTAATGATTTATATAATATAACTAGATGCTAAGGAGGGAACAAATATATATGTAAAAATTAGCTAAATAAAAAGATTAGTATAAGAATTTAGTTCAAGTTATATAATATTATTAGATACAAAGGAGAGAAAAGATATATGTATAATTTATTAGTCAAATAAAGAGAGGGATAGTAAGTAAGGATTTAGTTTCAAGTGAAGTGTATTAAGGATGTAGATAAAAAATATTTTTCTTATGAAGATGATATCAATAAAGGTGGATGGATCATATATTTTACTAAACTTTTTAATGAAAAATTGTGAAAATAATTGATTTTATTACTTTATCACCCTAAATGAAAAATAATTTTTTTTTTTTATCATCGTATAAGTAAACTGAAGTTAAAAATGTCTTTGAAGAAAATGAAGTGTAAAAGCTGTTTGGACCTAATAATTTCAATAGAGTATGAAGAATGCTAAGAGATGAAGAAATTTTTAGCTTCTAAACTTTTAATACATTTTGAAGTTCTAAGAAAACATACTAGACAGTGAGAGTGAAGTGTGTTAATTCTTATTTTTAAGAATAAAGGTGATGCATATAAATGTGCAAAGTATAGAGGAATTAAATTAGTGTGTCATACTTTAAAACTATGAGAATGAGTTATGAAGTGTAGGTTGTGGCGTGATACTAATGATTCTCAAAATCAATTTGGATTCATGCCAGGTAGGTCTACTATGGAAGCCATACATTTATTGAGAGGTATGATGTAGAAATATAGATAGAATAAGGAGGATCTATATATGATATTTATTGGTTTAGATAAAGTATATGATAAAGTTTCAAGAGAAGTGTCTTAGAGAGTTCTTGAAAAGAAAAGAGTTAATAACGCTTATATTCTCATTAAAGATATGTATGTATGAGCTATTACTTATGTTTAAACACAAGGTGGTTTGACCAAGTATTTTTCTTTTTCGGTTGGATTACATCAAGGATCAGCCTTAAGTCCATATCTTTTTGCTTTAGTCATGGATGTTCTCACTAGACATTTACAAGAGGATGTACCTTATTATATGCTTTTGCTGATGATATTCTTCTTGTTGATAAGACTAGAGAGGGAGGTCAAGGTAAACTTGAATTATGTAGGCACTACAGGAAAACCCCTTATTACCGGCGGACAAAATCCGCCGGCAAAATTAAAAATCCGACAAAAAATATAGTTTCCGTCGCAAGATTTACGTCGAACAATTCCGCCGTTATTACCGGCGCACAATTTTCCGCCGGAAAAATCCAACGGTAATCGCGTGTTTTCCCGTAGCTAGGTTAACTTAGAGTCTAAAGGTTTTCACTTGAGTATATCCAAAATTGAATATATGGAGTATAATTTTACTAGCAATAGACTTAGTGAGAGGATTGTGACTTTGGGCGATCAAGTCATTAATAAGAGTACACGTTTTAGATATCTTGGTTCTATTATTCAGAGTGATGGTGAAATAGATGAGGATATTATCAATAGATTTTAAGTTGGATGGTTAAAGTGGAGGAATGCATCAGGCTTATTGTGCAATAGAAATTCAAGTCCCCCTTAAACTTAAGGGAAAATTCTATATGATGGTGGTGAGACCTGCAATGCTTTATGGTACCAAATGTTGGCAATTAAAAGAGAAGCAGAATACTAAGTTATGTGTTGCAAGGATGAGGATGCTTAGGTGGATGAGTGGCTTAACCCTTAGAGATAGGATACGAAATGAGCGTATACATGAAAAGGTTATAGTAGCTCCAGTTGAAGTTAAGATTAGAGAGAGTCGCCTTAAATGATTTGGTCACATTAAACGAAGGCCTTTTGATGACTTAGATAGGAAAATTGTGGTATTATATTTGACTTATTTTAAGAAAGGTAGAGGTAGACCTGAAAAGACTTGGTTAGAAAATATTATAAATGATCTTTCTTTATTAAATTTAAATGAGAATTTGACTTTTAATCGGACATAATGGCGAGAAAGGATTCATGTAGCCGACCCCACATAGCGGCACAAAGGCTTGTTGTTGTTGTTGTTGTTGTTTCTTTTCATCTATTGATGGTTGAATTTTCATACATTGTTAGGACGTAAAATCTTTTACTCCGCTGCTATGAATCTTTTTTCCCACAATAACAATAAATATGAAATCTTTGCCTTTTCAAACTTCTTCACAAACCTAAAATTAAGTGCAATTGATATATTCTGGAAACAAAACGATTGCCTTAACAAAAGCTTCGACAATAATCTAAATGTGGAAGATAAACAATGGAGAAGATGAATAACAATTACTTAAAGGCTGAAGCAAATTTGCTCTGATGCTTCCCGACGAAGGAAAGGTCAACTTCCTATTTGACCCCGTTTGTTTTGGCTCGTGACAAAGGAAGTGGACTGGCGTCAGCGGTATAATCCTTATGAGGTTGACTTCCTATTTGGCATTCATCTCGGCACAAGGAAGAGGAAGCAGACTAGCGCCGATTGAGTAATCCTAGTGAGGTCGACTATCTATTTGGCATTCGTCTTAGCTCGAGACATAGGAAGAAGTGTAGGCGTGCGTCATGGCTCGAGTTCGAGAGAGGGAGAAAGAAATGGAATGAATTAGAGAAAATTTACTTACAAAAAAATTTCTAGAATTTGTTTAAGTGCAATTGATATATTCTGGAAACAAAACGATTGCCTAAACAAAAACTTTGACAATAATCTAAATGTGGAAGATAAACAATGGAGAAGATAAATAACAATTACCTAAAGGTTGAAGCAAATTTGCTCTGATGTTTCCCGACGAAGGCAAGGTCTACTTCCTATTTGGCGCCGTTTGTTTTGGCTCGTGACAAAGGAAGTGGCGCCAATGGTGTAATCCTTATGAGATTGACTTCCTATTTCGCCTTCATCTCGGCACAAGGAAGAGGAAGCAAACTAGTGCCGATTGAGTAATCCTAGCGAGGTCGACTCTCTATTTGGCATTCGTCTCGGCTCGAGGCATAGGAAGAAGAGCAAGCATGCGTCAAGGCTCAAGTTCAAGGGAGGGAGAAAGAAATGGAATGAATTAGAGAAAATTTACTTGCTAAAAAATTTGTAGTGTTTGTTTAAGCGAGGCCGACCCCAGTGGAAAATTTTATTAATTAGAATTATAATAGAAAAAAAGCTATTGACATGAATTTACTAATTCTCATAATATAATTTAAGGACAGATGACATCATCAGCATAAGTGTTATAATATTTCATATGATATAGACAATCTCCGTTATGCTGTAGACGATCTCCGTTTATGTCATATGATGTCAGTCATTGTTTCTACCGCTACTTCCCGGCCATCGTCACCTCTCGCCACCGGTGCCATTTTCATCTTCCATCATTATTCGTCATTATCGGTCATCTCTAATCAATTATTATTCTAAATATATGATAGTTTCATTTATATCAAATAAAAATAAAAAAAAATAAAAAATTATATTAGTAGCGTACTCATTCAAACAAATGAAGTAATTTGACTTTTTATTACCTTAATAGCCCTTAAAACTCAATTAAGAAAGCCTTTCAGTCAGCTGCAATCGCATTTCTTTATCAAAACACAGTGAAATTTGACTGTGAATTGCAAGAGAAAAACGAGCCTTGCAAGCGGCAAGTGATGGCTTTTGAAAAGCTCTCTCCAGCACTAGGATTAATTATTCTATGCAGTCACCGAACGGCATCCGGAGACGAATGAGAGCTCTATAGTCGATAAGCTCAACTTGCAAGCTCGTTAAAGAGCCATCTTTTTGAGCCGTCTCATGATTCAACTTGTCTTATTTTTGTGTTAGGAATGGAGTTTCTGATGGGAGATGCCCTAAGAAGATGTTTTCTGCATGCTTGCCAAGAAAACGACGCGAAAACATCTATCAATAAATAATTTTCACTCTTATGAAAATTTTCTGGTATTAATCTCTTAATAGAAAAGTATACTCAGAAACACAGAAAAGAAAAATGTGAATGTAGATTTTCCTACTACTAGGTTGGCATGTGCTACCGGCCCACCCCAGACCCGACCTCTTTCCTCAATATAAATACGCATGCATGGTTATCAACCTAGCCTCCATTGCCTCTAAAGAAGCTCATCTGTGTTTACATAACGCAATCAAGTCGATCAAACATGGTTATCAACTCACAAGAAACGCTAACCCATCCTCTCCTCCTCCTCCTCCTCCCATTCATCTTCCTCGTTGTCACCGTCTACCGCCGCCGCAAACCAGCCCTCAACCTCCCCCCCGGCCCTCCCCCTCACCCCATCTTCGGCAACCTCCACGACCTCGGCGAAAACCCCCACATCACCTTCTACCACCTCTCCAAAAAATACGGCCCCCTCATTCACGTCAACATCGGCCAAATCCGCACCATGTTCGTCTGTGACGCCGACACCGCCTCGCAAATCCTGAAAGCCCAAGATCAAATTTTTTGCAGCCGTGCCCAACTGACTTCCCCCAAACGCTTCACCTATGGCGGCAAAGACATCGGTTTCTGCCCCTACAACGATCACTGGAAACAACTCCGGCGGCTCTGTAACACTGAAGTCTTCAGCGTCGGCAGAGTTCAGTCTTTCCACTCCTTTCGCAGAGAAGAAGTCGACGCGCTCGTCAATACAATATCAAAAACTTCCGCTCGTGGGGATACAGTGAATGTTAGCCAAATGGCATTTTACTACATCAACAATCTTATTTTTCGAGAGGTGTTTGGGAAGAGGCTTTCGCCTGACGGAGAGTGTGGTTGGAGTCCGCTTCAGGGCCTTGTTAGCGAGGTGGCTGCTGCGATGGGTCAGCTTGGAAATGCAGATTTGTTTCCCTGGCTTGGGTGGCTTGATTTGCTCACTGGGTGGCGGGCGAAGCTTGATAAGATTTATGAAAAGATGAATTTGATGTATGAGGAGAATATAAGGGAGCACTTGGCCCGAATAAGTGAAGGAAAGGGTGATTCTGAAAATTTACTAGATGTTCTTCTTCATCTTTATGCTAAGGAAGGTTCTTCTCTCACTATGGATCAAATCAAAGGTCTTCTCACGGTAATTCTACATCAAAAACAATTTTATTTATATTTTAATAAGTCTGCATATTATATGAAATATTATTCATGCATGAAGTTTATCATTGGTTTTATCATAGTAGTTTCTAATCACGGTTCTAAGAATCATAATTAGCTCTCGGTTTAAACTTTTTTAATTGTACGAAAATTTTTTTCCCTTTCTTTCTATAAGCTGTCATTATTGTCTTCCATTTGTAACCTTTGGACTTCAATTATTTGCTCACATGATTGCTACCATTTTACTTTAAGTTGGACAGAAGTAAATCACCATGCTTAGCAAACCCTTAATGTTATTTAAGTAAGAATGAAAGGGACTTCATTCTAAACTATAGATTCTTCCTTATGCGCCTTCTTGGAGGAAAAAAAATATAGGAATTGTTATGTTGGAAAATAAGAAGAATGATCATGTAGTTGGATGATAGTAGTTTGGAATGACTATGATGCATATTAAATTCGAATAATTTAGAAAATTCTTAATATTTCTTCTTTGAATAAATTCCAAGACTTGCTTATGTGTAACTTTATCACTTTGTTCTATAGAATATGTTTACAGCAGGAATAGATACATCCTCAGTAACCATAGAAATGGCGATGACACAACTAATAAAGAACCCAGAGGCTCTAAAAAAGGTGCAAGAGGAGGTTCGACGAGTTGTCGGCGATAAAGGAACGGTGGAAGAGAGCGACATACAACATCTCCCTTACCTCAAGCAAGTAATAAAGGAGACACTGAGGCTTAGTCCGCCTGGCCCATTGCTACCACCACGAGCGAGCATGAAAGATGCCAAGGTTAATGGCTATGATATTCCAGCAAAGACTATGATATATGTTGATGCATATTCTATTGGGAGGGATCCCAAGTACTGGGAAGATCCTGAGATTTTTCGGCCAGAGAGATTTGAGAATAGCTCTATTAATTTCAAAGGGAACAACTCAGCGTTCATACCATTTGGAGCTGGAAGAAGAATTTGCCCGGGAATAACACTTTCCATGGCAAATGTTGAGCTTGCTTTGTCAAATATGCTCTATAGGTTCAATTGGACATTGCTCGATGGAATGACCAAAGAAGATATTGACATGAGGCCCAAACCTGGGTTGATTACTCCTAAACTAATACCACTTGTTCTGGTGGCAACACCTGCTTTTACCAAGTGATAGAGTTTATCAAATACTAATTATTCTATGTTACAATAATTTGATCCAAGACATCCACATCCAAATAAGAAAAAAAAAATCAGCTGCTATCAATGCACATGTAATATGATATATGAAAAATAAATTCTCATTATATTTTGCATATATCATGAGTCTTGTAGTCTTGAATTCTACTTCTATAAGAGTATTATCAATGTGTTTTTCTACTTGCTATCTACTTTAGAATTTTGCTTCTAATAAAATTCATGAATCAGTTAGTTCACTATTATGTAAGCAAGAGATGCTTTTAATATCACAAACTTTTGAATTTGCTTCCATGAATATAACATTATTGTTTTATTATGTTTAGTTTTATCATTGGTGCACAAATTAAAATCCAATTCATACCCACCTAAAAATGGCACCTCTTCTACTTATGACCAAGTTCCCCTCTTATTGGTGAAATTATTACGTGAGGTCACCGAATGCCGTCCAGAAGCCAATCAAGATGCACCACATCACCAATACATTGTGTATCGTTATTATACACTGTTGTATATTAGGTGACGTGATGCGTCCTGATTTACCTCCGGATTGTCTGATGACTGCATGTAATAATATCTCCTAATATATGTAACTCCAAGCTAAACATTATCCCATGACCAACAACCTCCCCCATGATCAATAATTAAATTAACCTCCTCACGAATTATATATGATTAATAAACATCTCCCTTCTTCTAACACTGTGATATTTACAACCGCTAACAACCTTTTTTCTATGACTCCATGAGTAGAGAAGCTATGAACTTATTGATCATGATTTTAACCCGTTGACTAATTTATTAAGTTGACACATGCAAAGGGTCAATTCTTCTATTCTTTGTAGAGTTAGTTGTGACTCGAGGTGTAAATGAATTGAGTCATGACCAACTTGAGTTCAAAATGTCATTTAAAAAGGCAGCTCAAACTCATGTTTAGTCTGTAGAATGAGTTCGAGATTAGCTCGTCCATTTATTATATGAAAACAACTAATTTCGATATAATTTCTGGTGGAAATAAATTCGTCACAAATTCTGACGGATTTCCCACTGAAATTAAATTTTTCTATAAAAAGACTATAATAAATATTTATAACTTTTTATTTTGTTGAATTAAGTTAAATAATATAATAACTTATTGTCAAATTAAATTATTTAAATTGAATTAACTAATTTAATAATTCATTATTTAATTAAATAATTACATTAACTATTTTGATCTTTAAAAAAAGTTTTACTTTTAAAATAATAATTACTTTTAATATTTTATAAGTTATAATTTAAATAAAAAAAAAAAGTATCCCTTTAAGTAGCTTTGTATAAGTGGCTTGATGGTTAGGTACTGAATATGTCAAAGAGCGGGATTCGAACCTTGATTTTGAGTTTGAGCTCGAGCACAAACTCACGACTAAATAATATTGATTTGCAAAGTCAAGTTTTATCCAGCTCAGGTCATTTACACCCTTTTATTATGACTTCGATATATTATACTTATTCCTCTAAATTAATTGATCATTGGAGTAAATTAATTCAAAATCATTGGGAATTATTGTAATTTGGTTTATTAAATCCACCAACTTAGCCTTCCTCTCGGTGAACAACCAACTTTATCATCTCAATAGACTACTATAAAGGAGAAAGGGGAATGTTATATAGAATTTGAGTTTCTAGTTTATTATTTCTTTTTTTTGGCTTCCCTATTTGCTGGTTATTCTTCTTGTAAATTACATCAGTTTGGTATTAGAGTTTGCCTTGGGAAGAATGTTGGACAACGATAAGGGATTGGATACTGATGATGATCATAGCTTTGAAACACTATGGGTGATGCAGTCAAATCTCACACGGAGATTCGAGCAGTTGTCTGCAGACTTCCTTTGTCTATCAGTGGATATGTAGTGTGAACTTCAGGTCTTTTGGGTGAGAATTCTGAATCCACGTTATCACCGAGATGATGGTTTGGGCGACCATAACGGTCGCTCGATGAGGTGTGGTACATGATTGGATGCCATGTAAAACACCTTTGTCAATTAATGATGCGACAGATTTAGAAGATGAAATTGCAATGTTCAACTTCATAGATTTTACATATTCAAAAGTGGAAGGACATAATTATTAATACAAGGAAGGGCGCCAATGTGGTCACTATTGAACTCATTTTTATATGAGTTATATTTCCCTGAGTTCAATCCTTAGGACAGGTTTTCATAGCCTAGTGTAGATGTCTCCTATAGGATTCCCCTTCGGTGGATGCCCATTGATGTAGCATTGTCTATGCCTTATAATTCAACCCAAATCCAACCTAGTTTGACCCAAATATAAGGAACGTAGTCAGTGGGAAACAAAGGTCGGAAGGACTGTAGTCGGTGGGCGACGTAAGTCAGAAGGACCGTAGTTGGTGGGCGACGGAGGTCGGAAGGACTGTAGTCGGTGGGCGATGTAAGTCAAAAGGATCGTAGTCGGCTGGCGACGTAGGTCGGAAGGACTATAGTTGATGGGCGACGTAAGTTAGAAGGACCGTACGTAGTCGACGGGTGACGGAGGTCGGAAGGACCGTTGCTTGATGACGAAGGTCAGAAGGATGGCATCATGTAGAAATCCAACAATAGACAGAAGTCAAACATCAGATAGATGTTCGGCGAAAGTCCAACAACAGGCAGAAGTCCGGCGTCGGGAAGAAACTTGATGATGAGCGGAGGTCTGGCGACGGGTAGAAGTCGATGTCAGTTGGCAGCCAAGGAGTACTCTAGCGTTAGATGGTATTCGGGCAGAACTCCAGAGTCTCTTGGAGTTTAGGTGAAACTCCGACGTCACATGGAGGTCGGGCGGAATTCAAGAGTCACTTGGAGGTCAGGCGGAATTCCAGCGTCACTTAGAGGTCGGGAAGAATTCTAGCGTCACTTGGAGTTCGGGTGGAACTTTAGCATCACTTGAAGGTTGGATAGAAATCCGGCATCTCTTGAAGGTCGGACGGAATTCCGGCGTTACTTGAAAGTCGGGCGAACTCCGGCGGTGATCGAGGAGGAGTTTCTTCACTCCTATTCTCTTCTCTTCTCCTCTTCTTACTTCGTTCTTGCTTCCTTCGGTCCCCTCTTAAGAGAAATGAGGGCCTATTTATAGATTTCTGGAGTGGCATGACCCGTAAATATGTGAGCGATAAGAGATAAATGAAGAGTTGTTGGATGGACGGCCGATATTGAATACCTTGATCATGTACCGTTCGTTAAACATTTGAAGGTCTTAACAATATCAGAATTTGGCAATCATGGGCTCGTTGGATTGTCTCGTTGAGCTGCTCGATTCGATTATAAGCATCTCATATTTGGAAACTGTTTGGTAAGGCAAATTATGGATTGAACCTTCCGAATGTGCTTCGGGCCTTTGATTCTGACCCATTTTGGGCTTTGATTGAGCTGAATTTGGTGTCGTTGAGTTCGTAGTTCTAAGACGATCAGTTCGACTGTATGTTTACTAAAATTAGAGTTCAGATGATTCCAGATTTAATTTTTTGAAGTTTCCAAATTAATTTTTGCCTCGAGATTTGTGCCCGATCAAGATAATTGTTTGATGATACATCAAATATAAAATTAGGTATTAACATGAATTTATTCATTAGTTCTCGTTATGTAATGTTTTCATTTACTTAAATATATTATTTAAGGACAAATGATATCATCAGCTTAGGTGTTATAATATTTCATTTGCTGCAGATCACCTCCGTTGCTTGCTATAATGTTATTTGTTGTCAGCAATTGCTTCTGCTGTCACTTGTCGGCCACCGTCACCTCCCGCTATCCATTCCATTTTCATCATCGGCCATTGCTCGTTATTGTCCTCCATCTTTATTCAAAATATATGATAATTTCATTTATTTCAAATCAAAATAAAAATAATAAATAATTATATTAGTATCGTACTCAACCAAACAAAAGTCCTTTGACTTTTTATTACCGTAACAGCCCCTAAAACTCACTTAAGAAAGAGCAATTATTAGGTCCTTTCACTGGATGTAGAGGAAGGTTCGATTTTAGTCAAAAATAGGTAAAAAGTGCAAATACCGAGTTTTTTTGAAAAATCTGGTCATTTTTCAAAAAACTCCGGTTATTTCACTTTTTTAGGCAAAACGAACCTTCCTCTAGGTCCCTTGCACCGGACCAAATTACCAAAATCCCTTTAAGAAAGCCTCTTCAGGTGCGGCGCAATCGCATTTTCCTTTATTACAAACACAAGGTGTGTTGAAAGCTTGAATGGAATTGCAGAGAAAAACAAACCTCGGAAGTGAGTCGCAACGTGATCGCTTTTGATAAAGTTCTATATGCGGTCACTTACGATGGCATCTAGAGACCGAATCTCAGAAGAGCGTGCTGGCACGGCTATTTTTGTTGTGTACCGATGTCATAATGGTTCGGCACAAGAGGTGGTAAGGTATTTTTTAACTGTGCGGATCGGGCCAACAATAATTCTTTAAAAAATCACTTTCCAAACTTTTTATAATCTTAGCTTGAGATGACAATTATGATTTAATTTTTATTTATTATTATTTATTTAATTATAGAGAAGATAAATTCAATAATAAGAAACAAAATTATTGTCTCATGCTATCTAAATTAATTTTCACACAAATTTATTTAAATTATTTTATTATCTTATACTATATATTTCAACCACTTTTTCTACCATTATGATGTTCATATCTAATTAATAAAATAGATCTAAAAAAATCACTTGTAACAAAGCATAAATATAAAAACAAAATATATCCCTTATTAATATAAAATATAACAAAATATAATAAAAATTTATACCATAAGCATGATTTAAGCTACTTGATTTAAATTTGAAATATCTATAATTCTCCTCTAATTAATTGGTTGACTTTATAATTCATAAACTCAGTAAAACTAGAACCTTTGAGTTTTAAAAACCCAATGGATTAAAAATTTTTTAATTAAAAAAAAAAACTATGATTATGAAGACTTGAGAGAAAAAAAATATTCTCACCCACCTTCATGTAGAAAGAGAGAGAGAGAGACGAGAGAGTCAGTGAGGAAATTAATTTTTTGTGGAGTGCGGAAGGCATCCGCGAGACCAATAAAAAGCGCCATTCTACCCCCATTGTGGCTTAACCCGCTCGGC